TACAAGGTATGTTTCCAGCCAGATACAGTCAGAATGAGGGTGCGTTGTGTTCGGGGGAAGACGGTAGCCATATTGTCAGATTTCCATCAGCTCATGCCTCTTTTGTTGTTTTCTTGTTCTAAACTTCTAAAGGGGATTAGCCCTTACCTGTACCGTCATGATCCAACTACGCCAGGGTTCGAACTCGTGAACTGTTTACGAACAGTTACATGTGTACAGTGACACCACTCACCCACACGGGCTGAGTTCTATCAGCTCAAGCCTGGCCGGCACTATGTGGTGAAGGTGAGTGTCATATCCTTTCATTCACTGCTGGGGTCAGCGCTGGCATGCAATGTTTGTGTATTCTGATGAAAGACTGTGTATGCATCTGTCAGTTGCATCTGGTTCTCTGTCACTCTGTCAGTGTTATGCAAGGTTGTCAGAATACCAGGGTGTGCATAGGCAAGATTTGGCCCATCAAAAGGGACGGTGAGTGAGAGACCGAGATCATGTAGAGAGATCAGTATATACCCATGTGCGACAGTATCAGTATGACATAGAGAAAGAGAGAAAGCGGATGGAAGGAGAGAGTAGAGGGAGGGTGGGTGAAACGGAGAGATGGAATTCACAAGCAAGGGAGAGGGAGAGAGGGAGAGAGGGAGAGAGGGAGAGAGGGAGAGAGGGAGAGAGGGAGAGGGGGAGAGAGGGAGAGAGGGAGAGAGGGAGAGAGGGAGAGAGGGAGAGAGGGAGAGGGTGAGAGAGGGAAAGAGGGAGAGAGGGAGAGAGGGAGAGCAGGAGAGAGGTAGAGCAGGAAAGAGGGAGAGAGGTAGAGCAGGAAAGAGGGAGAGGGAGAGAGAGGGAGAGAGGGAGAGAGGGAGAGAGGGAGAGAGGGAGAGAGAGAGAGAGAGAGAGAGAGAGAGAGAGAGAGAGAGAGAGAGAGAGAGAGAGAGAGAGAGAGAGAGAGAGAGAGAGAGAGAGAGAGAGAGAGAGAGAGAGAGAGAGAGAGAGAGAGAGAGAGAGAGAGAGAGAGAGAGAGAGAGAAGGAAAGGGGGGGGGAGAGGGAGGGAGAGAGGGAGAGAGGGAGAGAGGGAGAGAGAGGGAGAGAGGGAGAGGGAGAGAGGGAGACGGGGAGAGGGGGAGAGGGGGAGAGGGAGACAGGGAGAGAGGGAGAGGGGGAGAGAGGGAGAGAGGGAGAGTGGGGCACCTGACAACCTGACAACAGGTCTCACAGAAACAAGGCGCACCTAGGTCCTTAGACTCATCTACAGGACTTCGGACGGATCGCAAAACAGACGACGCACTTATGGTCCCTATTTAACAACAATGACAATAAGCATTCCGACAACAGCACCTAACAAAAGGGATCTCTCTTTTTCCCAGACAAGGCACCGTCAACCTCATAAGGATACATGAGGCATCAAGATTGAAACACTCTACAGAGAACTCTAGCTACTGGAAGACGGAGGACCGGTAGTACGTAAATACATATAACTTCTGTTCTGACAATATATAAAAAGAAAAGGACTCCCTAACGTCCACATCAGCAGGATGACATGCCACAAATCGAAATGGTTTTGAGCTCTGGAATGAAGGTGGAGAAGAAACAGACAAAGGTGCAATGGACTGTCACTCCTCCCCGTACCTCACACCGAAGCAGTTCACAGTTAAGCTGTGCATTCGGACAACCAGAGATCGAGCTTCCCGCGCTGCGGGCGCCTCATCGCCACGCCGTAGGCATCAATGCCACCTCATCACCATGATCCTTAAAAAATGGTCATCATTGGTCACAAGGAGAATACACCTGGCAATCAGAACAACGCGAGAAGAATAAACAAACACAAGAGGGAGTGCAACATGAACTGATCGACAACCAGGTAAGCAGGGGCCAAGGGCTAGACCAGACTAGGGAACGGTCGAGGTGAGCAAAGATAAAAAAAAAAAAAGACAAGGTGAAAGAAAGGAGGCAAGTTGAAAAAGCACTCTGATGAAGAAGAAGCAAAGTGAGAAGTGACCTGCTGAGAAAGGACAGGGTCAAAAGAGCAACCCACTGTCGAGAAGGGGTAGACAGGTAAGGGACGATCAGATGAGGAAGGATAAATCTGAGAATGGCCAAGGTCAGCAGAGAACAGACAGGACAAACCAGGGAAGACGAGCCGCATGACAAGAACGGTTGGCCTACACGAAATTACAATGCCGCAGCTATGGCGTGGCGACCCCCCCCCCCCCGCTCCCTCCCCACCCTCTTTCCCCCAGGCAGAAGACACTGCATCTGCACAAGCAGAAAGATGAACAGAATATGTGAGCACCCAGATAAGAAAAAACATAGTCTGCCAAACAGCCAGCTTGGCAGAACCAGGGAAAATTTCGGGTCATGTCGATAAGCTCAATCATAGAGGGAGGGGGCAACAAGGGAAGACAGCGGTGTAAACAGCGAAAGATGAACTGTCACAAAGTGGGAGGTGGAGACAGAAAGGGAGAAGAAACCAGAGAGAGTACAGGAGAGAGAGGAAAGGGGAGAGAGAGGAGAAAGAGGAGAGAGAGGTGACTCAGGTAGGTATAAGACGCATACAGTAGACTTGGATTTCGACTGAAGGACAACAAAGACAGGGGAATGAATGCCTTGGATTTCGGTAGAAGGATAATTTGCATATAACTTTTTTCGGGCCAATTATGTCAGATAAATTAATATCTGCCACAATTGCCAAAAGTCCGGTACTGTTATTCCCTTCAGAACACAAGGAGCCACCTTTTGTTCTTTTTCTTTTTCAATTTTTATTAATTTTTAAATGATAACCTGTACTCAAATCGTAAGTCAGGAAATCATAGTTCCTTTTTTGGAAATTTGTGGACCATTTCTCAGTTTGCAACTTCTCTCATGTCATCCTTGTGCAGGGATGACAGTTTTTTTGTTCTTTTCTTTTTCCCTGTCTGTCTTACACAGGGGACAAGCTAATCTTCTCAGAGTTATTTTCGGTTTGAACGGATGTGTCCGGAAGAAAACATGGATGACCATTTCTCAGTTTTCTTGTTCTTTTTTTTTTTCCCTGTCTGTCTTGCACAGAGGACAAGCTAATCTTCTCGGAGTTATTTCCGGTTTGAAAGGACGTGTCCGGAAGGACGCGTAGGGACCTCCGTTTGGACAGCGGCGAAAGGAGGGGCGGGGGGGGGGNGGGGGGGGGGGGGGGGGGGGGGGGGGGGGGGGGGTAGAGGGGAGAAAAAGAAAAAGAAAAGGGCAAAAAATTCTTTTTCTCGTTTTTTTTAATCACTTGCTTGCTTCACTCACAAATTCATTCATTGAGAACAAGTTCCAAATAGAATTAAGAGAAGTAAATACGTCCTTTTTCTTTTTTTTTCTTTTTCTTTTTTTTTCTTTTTCTTTTTCTTTTTTTTTCTTTTCTTTTTTTCTCTTTTTCTTTTTTTTTTCTCTTTTGTTTGGACCATTTCTCGATTTATGCGTGTCATCCTTGTGCAGAGGCCATACTAATCTTCTGTGTATCACTCCAATCTAACAACCGTCCGGACGGACAAATGCGTTCATTTTTCTCATTTTCACTTTCTTTCCCACCTTGATTTGTGTTAAAACTGTACAGTTTTGTAAACTACCGTCTTCCCCCAAAAAAGAACACCTGGAAATAATGGCCGTATTTGGTGCAAATTTCAGCCCAGATACAGCAATAACGACCGGGCGTTCTATTCGGGGGAGGACGGTAGAATTTCCCATGTACTGCCACCTGGCACAGAGGAGCTCAATAAAATTATTACTACTAGTTTCACATCCCCAGAGAACTGTTTCAACCTCAGATTAAAATCGAAAGCAACGCTTTTTTTTTCTTATTATAATATTTGCTTTGAAATTCGAATAGCTGCTTGATTTGATTGTTAGAAGAAGTTCCTCTGACAGTTCCATAAAGATCAGGGGATAAAACTCTTCAAAACAGCTCAATAATTATTATTAGTCTTCTTAAGTTATTAATATATTAATAAAAAGTAAATAAATAACGGTTAGAAATTGCATTACACAAATTAAATTATTAATATGATATATATTGCATTACACATATCTAGATTCTAAAACAAGATGTATTAATTTATGAAATAAATGTATACTATACACATAAATTATAAATATACATCAAAGGAAAAAAAATAAAATTAAAATTAAAATTATAATTATAAAATCAAAGGTGAGTTACATGCATCAATAGTATTACACTTTTTCACATTATTGATTTTACTCTAAATTATTACTAAATTATTACCCATATATTACATTATCTGCTATATTTCAGGCATGATTTTATTTTGTTCTTTGTCGGAAAATGAATGCACGTTTTCTCCGTTCAGTGCACTCAGTCCTTATGAATCTCTCTACACTACACAGCCAACATACATACAGGATGATACAGCACTAATCATAGTAATCAACCGTATTAAATTATTAATTAGCTTGACTTTCCAAGGAATAACGCAGAGACAAAAACTTTATTGACTTCAGAATCATGCAAAAACCCTAAAAACCCTGTCCTCGTCTCTTCCCGCCAATTCATCAGTAATGAACACCCCCCCCTTCCCCCTGTCTCTTATACACATCTAGATGTGTATAAGAGACAGGATCTGCACCGCCCAGAACGCAGGCTGTGGGTTTT